CAGGCTTTAGGGTTTAGGCTTTTCAGGTTTCGGGTTTAGGGATTAGGGGGTAAGGTTTAGAGTTTAGGGTTTGAGGTTTAAGGTTTAGGGTGTAAGGTTTAGGGTTTAGGGTTTAAGGTTCAGGGTTTAGGATTTAGGGTGAAGCCCGGCGTGCCCATGGTAGTTACAGCTTGCGCAAGTCTCCTAATCCGATTGCTCGGTGAAGAAAGTTTTCAGAACCCTTCACTGTAGCATGTAAATATGCTCAAGTTCCTTATCCTAAACTCTAAATCCCAATCCCCAACAACCCTAAAACCCCATACCCTACTCGGCTTTCAATGTCAAGCCCCCAAAAATTGAAAGCATCCTGTTGAGGAAAAAACCTACACCCAACGTTCCTAAGATCTTAGGAAGTACAGTACAGTAGCTTAGAATCTGCGGTTCAGGGTGTGAGGTTCGAAGGCCTTAAACCCTTAACAGAAAACTATAAACCTTGTCATGCAAATTTCCTCCATCAACCATAAGTTTGTCACACATCCCAAAACACTGCACAGGGCCCTGTCCGTGAAGGTGACATCTTGGCCAGCCGCCAAGCGTTTGGTGTTTGGAGCTTTCGAGCTTAGGGTTGAGGGCTTAGGGTTTAGGGGCTTGAACTAGGGTTTACGTAGGATTCAGGGTGTAGGGGCCTAAGGAATTCGCAAGAATGGAAAATCCATGAGCAGTTATGAACGTTTTGATGCCAGTCATCTCGTTATTAGTATTCTTGTGATTATCTTTATTCGTAATAATACTGAAGCAACTGTTTTTCCTAAGGAGGGTGACAACCTGCAAGCTGCAAATCTGATCTAGACAATGGGCACGGGATTCTGTAGCCGAAGCATGAAACCCCAAACCCCAAACCCTGAATCCAGTAGTCTACTAAAGTACCACTGGGAGCCCTGTGCCGCAGCTCATGGGGATCCCGCGTGGATTGTATTCCAGCTGTACATGCGACCGGGGGTCACCCCTAATCTAGTCCGGGCTTATCGCCTAGGGTATCAGAACTATGCCACTATGCACACAGCAGAGCATGTGGAGGGCCATGTTGATGCGAGATGTTGTAGGATTGAATAGATAAGGCGTCCGAAGAAAGTGAAAGTCGGTCATGAAAAGAATGTTGGGTTGAACAGTAAGAGCTTGCCCTAAACCCTAAACCCTAATCAGGCACACCCTCACAATCCCTTGCGAGCTGGCAGAGTCAAGCTTGACAGCTAAGGTTTGAGGGTTAAGGCTGTTTTCCGTGGAGTTTGCTGTGAGGCAAATATAAAACGGAAACTATTAAAACGAGGTTATATAGGTTTTTCGGGTGTAGGGTTGGGGTTATATAGGGATCATGGAAAAGAAAATGGAAACCAGTATAGCGTGTTCTACACTATAATATATAACCCCTATAACCCTTGTAATTTCCATTTGCTTTTGCATTATCCCAATATATCCCAATACAGGATGGTCGACAACTTTTGAAATCATGCCATGTTCCCTACATGAAGCCTTCCCTATGCTAATGGCTCGTTTCAATGTGCACTCTTGGGGCAAACCTCGTGTCGCCAGGGCTTTGCCCGGGACCACATGGGAGGGTTTAGGGTTTAGGGTTTCGGGTTGACACGGCGCAGAGTAGAGGTCATGAGAGGTATCAATAGCGACTAGCCCAACTTAGCTTCGAGAGGCAAGCATTGCTCCACGAGACCCAAATTTGCTTTTTCCTCAAAGACAAGTTTTTTTGTGAGGCTTTTTACCATTGCATCGTGGCTTGTCTCCGTCCAATAAGGCCAAATTGATCCAAAAGCCTTGTGTACATTGCCGTTAAAAATTGCAGTTTCGCTCAAAAAGCTCGAAATTGGGGCCAAACAGGTAAAGCGGCCTTGAAAATAAATCTGTCATCCATGTGCCCCAGGTCTAGCCCTAACGCTAAACCGCAAGGCCCAAACTTGCCCCTGTTGGGTGGCAAAAGATGGGAAACTTGCTAAACAAAAATCAGAAAATCCTTAAGGAGGCCCTCAGGCTTCGGGGCCCAAACTTGGAGTTCGGGGGTTCCCAAATGGCCAAAATATTATCAAATCGACCGTTTTCGGGTGACCGAAACTGGCCAAAATTGCAAAAAATGAAGGGAAAATCATTAGACATACCCTCAGGCTTTGGAGCCCCTAAACCCTAAACCCTAAACCCGCGGGGTTGTGGAGGTTCGAAAAGGGCACAGATGTTAAACCGGTCTTCTGGCTAGGTGTCCCAAGTTCGCCAAGGTTGTCCGACTTGGGGGAAAATCTTTTCAAGGCCTGTACATTTTCGTGGACAGATTTCGAGCGGAATTGAGGCAAGACAGACCTAGACTCCACTGTCGTTATTCAATTCCAGCGAATTAACCACAGGCTCAATTTGCTTAAGCTTTTCCATGCATTTTCATAATGATTTGCGCGTGCATATCCGCAAAATGACGCGCGAACATGCAAGTTCTATTTATCATGGGCTTGAGGGTTTAGGATTTAGTGTAGACCCCTTAAGCCCTAAGCTACCTCAACCCTTACACCCTTAACCCTTGCACTCTAGGCCCTAAACCTCAGTTTATTTCTCCATGTGCTTGTCCATATGACTCTCCATTCTTCTAGTATATAACTCCTTAAACCCTAAACCCTGATCCGAAACCTTACTCTTATATATGTAAAATATTACATAGAGATAGCCGATAGGGTTCAAGCTTTCAGGCGCTGCTGGAGACTGAGCGTGAGGCCCGCCGTCTGCGCTAGTGGAAGAAGCAACACGACGACACGCCGCCCATCCCGGTTCAAAAGCTGCGAGCGCAAGGGAGGCTCTTCGATCCCTTTGAGGGGCTTATAGGGATATGATGGGACACAAAATCTTCAGGCTTTGGTGAGTTGGGCTTAGGGTTTAGGATGGTTGAGGATTAAAGAGGGAATGACAAGGTGATTCTGAGCCTGACTTGAGCCCTGAACCATATCAGGGCCTTGATTTTGGCAATACGCTCATCTTTGAGAAGAGAATTGAATAACTCAGGAACAATACGGCTTAGACTTTAGGGACGAAGGAAATCCCTAAACCCTTCATCTTGAATAATATGATAAGAATTATAGTCACAATGATAATTAGAATTATTGAATTGGAAATGATAGTTGATAACAATAAGAATAATTGAAAATGATAGTAATCCGAATCTATTGGAGCTTATGGAATATAGATATAATACTGTTGATGGACGAAATCCTGCATCAGCTTTCTTCTGCCCACCTTCCCTGCCAACCCTGAATCTTAATATTGATTAGCCCCAAAATGGTCAAAAAGGGCACGTGCGCGAATGACCGAAATCCTGCATGACCTTTATGTGTTAGCAACATTGAGATTAGAGGGGCAGGGGGAGATCGATGGCTGACAACTGTATGCTGTTTATTTACCAGGTCATGCACGATTTTGTCCATCCACCGTCTCGCAGTGCAGTTTTATGACATGGGGGTTTGAGACGTACAGGTCTGTCTGTAGCAAAAAAAACAAAGGCGAGCTTGATGTGCGTGTGCTTGACATGCGCGTGTGAAGCGTTGTCCAGGCAGTAGTTAGTTGTTGGGGCAGTAAGCAACTAAGGGCTTGCTCTCTGTGTGACTTCCGCGTGTAGTAAGATTGAGCTCTGAGAGGTACAGGCCTGAGTGTGTAGCAAGTTGTGAGCTTGTTGTGCATGTGCTTGACATGTGCGTGTGAAGCAGCGATATTGTTGGGGCAGGAAGTAACCAAGGACTCGCTGTGTGTGCGTGACTTGCGCGTGGAGGAAGATGGACCTCTGAGACATAGAGGCTTGTGTGTAGAAAGTTCTGAGCTTGTTGTGTGTGCGTGTGCTTGACACGTGCGCATAAAGCGGCGTTGAGACAGCAACTAGGGCCTTGGTGTGTGCGTGTGTGACTTGCGTGTGTAGGAAAATTGAGCTCTGAGACGTAGAGGCTTGCGTATAGTAAGTTGTGAGCTTGTTGTGTGTGTGTGTGTGCTTGACATGTGCGTGTGAAGCGTCGTTGAGGCAGCAGTTAGTTGTTGGGGCAGCAAGCAACTAAGGGCTTGCTCTCTGTGTGAATTGCGCGTGTAGGAACATTGAGCTCGGAGACGTAGAGGCCTGTGTATAGTAAGTTGTGAGCTTGTTGCGCGTGTGCTTACATGTGCGTGTAAAGCGGCGTTGAGACAGTAGTTAGTTGGGGCAGTAAGTAACTAAAGATTTGCTGTGTGTGCGCGACTTGCGCGTGTGGGAAGATTGAGCTCTGAGACGTACGGGCCTGTGTGTACTAAGCTACGAGCTTGTTGTGTGTGATGGAATGCCGTGCCGACTGCAGCTATGTGTGGCTGCGTGGGTGCCCTACAACGGCCTGGCGGCTCAAGACGTGCAGGTCTGTGTCGGATGCTGCGAAGAGGATCGCGCGCAAAACTTGATATGCGTGTGCGCGCGCAGGGGCCCTAACACAGCGAAGCGACCAAGGACTTGCTGTGTGCGTGTGTGCTCGCGAGACTTGTGGGCAGAAAGAAAGAGCGTCTCGTATACATGTTTGACTTGTGCAGTAGGGTCGTTTTGACGGCTTGCATGATGCTCTGTGTGTGTGCGCCGCGGGATAAGCAGCTGCGCCGTTCGCACGTGTTGCGTAGGATTTGCTGTGGTGAATGCTGCGTGTGTTGAGAGCTTGCTTTAGGGTCTAACTTCTGCTCGCGATTGCAGCAACGTGGACTCAAGCACCCTAGGGTAGGCAACTTGTGTCCCTTATATACTCATTGCAACGCACGATGCTAGAAGCAGGATGGACGAAAATATCTGAGGAGGAGCGCAAGTTGGCCAAGAAATGGTATGCGCAGGGTAAGAAGCCTTCCAACATCGGCAACCTGCTGGGAAGGGATACGTCCTCAGTGACACGCTTCTCTGCTTGCAGAAGCCCGTCAAAAAGCAAGGGCGCCCTTGCTCGCTTACCACAGCCGAGGTTGACTTCCTGGAGAAGAAGCTGGACTAGATGATCGTCGCAGCGAACGGCCAGCGCGCCGTCACTGTCCATGACTTGAAGAAGGCAGCAAAATCCAAGGCGTCCTGCCGTAGCATACTCCGGGCTCTCCACGATCGCAACATCTATTTCCGAAAGTTGCGGGAGAAGCCACTGCTGACTCCAGAGGATATCAAGGCCCGCTTCCAGTTTGCCAAGACTTCTCGCTCCAAAAGCGCAGCTTGGTGGGTCGACCGCATTGACGCCTTCATCGACGGGAAGCATTTTCAGGCGGGCTTGGGTAGTAAATCTGATGTCAGAACTATTCTGGTAGGCCGACCTTGTAAAGCGATAAGAAATAGAAAATAGCGATAAAGTTAAAAACCGGATAGGAAGAGTGGCCATAGGGCTTTCGCACGAGCTCAGGTCTACCTCCACGGCAAGGAACGACGTCGTGCAGCACAGCATGCCAGGTCTGGTGCGCACCGTCAACCTGGAAAGGGCTTGTGTGGTGGGTACGTGAAGCCGAAGGCCGGCAGCTTGCGGCACGACACTGGCGCCAAGGAGTTCCCTTGCATGTGGGCATTGGGAAAGGCAAGGCCCTCCCCGTGCACGAGGTTGCCCATGGACGTTGGAGTGGGCAAGCTGCTGCCAACTTCTACAAAATCTTGGCGCGCGATTTGGCCAAAGCTTTGCCAGATAAGCGGCGCTTCGCAATTCTGGAGGACAATGACCCTACTGGCTTTAAGTCCGCCAAGGGCATCGCTGCCAAGGACGAGGTTGGTATGGGAGATCCCAAGGCGGAGCCCCGACTTGTCTGTGCTGGATTATGTTATCTGGGCGGAGGTCAACAAGCGCCTGCGAAAGCAGGAAAGCAAGTGGCCGAATGGCAAAAAAGAAACACGTATAGCCTATCATAAGCGCCTCAAGCTCGCCATTCATTCGCTGCCAGAGGATTTCTTGCTGAAGAGCATCCGAGATATGACTAGGCGCTGCCATCGGCTCTATGAGGCCAACGGCTACTTCTTCGAGGAAGGTGGCTTAGATTGATGAGGGCATCTGGCCATCATCCTAGCAAGCGCAGGAAAGTGCGATTGCGCGCAATTATTATGCAGAGCGTGTAAGTGCTTGAGTGTGCAAGTATTTGCCTCTCTCCCTGGGCGAGAGCTTGGTTCTAGGATATGGCATGATGCTAGCAAGCTGACATGCTAGCGGCGGGAGAACGCGAGGGCCGTAACTTGATGCGCACGTGCGTGACATATGCTTTGCGTTGAGATAATAATTAGTTGGGACCATAATCAATTAAATCTTGCGCAATTCTACTTGAGTTATGAAAATAGTTTCTTAGCCTGAGCAGAAGTCAGGAAGTATGCTGTTTTCGTCAAAAGTAGTAGTAGTCTCAGGGATGGGGCTCTTCGGGGTGCGATCCTTGCGATTGTTGTCATTTTTGAAGTACGACGGGGTCAAAAATGCCCGTAATCTCAAGATTGGTATCCTCGTAATTGTCGTCGTTTTGGATATGAGAAAGTTATATATCTGGTAATTTTTCACTTTCAAATATTTTTCTCTAATTCTAATTTCAAATTAATTTCAAAATGATCGTAAAATCTATTTTCAAATTTATTCTTATAGAGACATTTTTGATATGCAAATTTTGGAAAAATTCTAGCATTTGCGAAATCTTGATATCTTATGAAAATCTTGATATCTTATAAAAATATGTATTGAAATTATCTTTCTCCCTATGAGGACGAATTTGAAATTGGATTTTGAAATTATTTTGAAACTAATTTGATATTAGAAAAAGAATTTGAAATCTGAAATTTATTACAGATTTAGCTTTCTCATATCTAAAAACGACGATACTTACGGAGAAGTCTTGGAAGGACTGACACGAATTGATATCCGAATCATAATATTGGATGCTGTGTAGCCTACTACAGGAGACACTAACGGTAGAGGTCGTTCTCGCTGCAGGCGCTAGAGGCTATCAAATTTATGATTTTCTTTGAGGAGCCTCGGCATTTCTATGGGGCGTTGAAATTAATGCCTGAGCCGCTTCTTGCCATTCAATGGTATTTTCGCCACGGAGCGTAAGCCGGAGGTTGATCTGGCTCCCTTGGTCTGGTTCAAGATGGCAGCCGTTTTGGGCGCGATCTGCTCAATTTGCGGCTCCGGGCTGCCGCAATACCGCCGAACGCTGATCTTGCTTATATCCAAGAGCATGAAAATTGCATGCGGAACCAGAAAATGGCGAGACGGAAAATAATTGCGTGATTTAGAGCAGGATACGGACTGGGGTCTTATCCAGCGTCTGGCGATCTCGAGTTGTTCTTGTTGCGGCCAATACGTGCGGAAGGCGGCAGCATCTGATTTGTTCCGTAGAAACTACGCTACGGGGGATGAAGACTTGCTAGCAGCAACTTGATCAACGTAATCAGCAACGACCCGAGCAAGATTGCCCAGATGCTTCTCATAGTAGGGGTCGCCAACGCAATCAAGAATTTAGTATAAGATCTCCTCATAAATATCTTTGGTCGCAAGTTCGTTGATTTTTGTCCTGCGCAGGGCGCCAGCATGGCATTCGACTCATTGGCAACTAGCAAAGGCATGAGATTCATTTATTGAGGCGAAATCAGCTCAACGGAAAATGAATCCCGGCTATCACGCTCGCCCGCAATTCCAATCATCATTTTCAAGAAATTATTCGCTGCTCAAATCTCTTGAGATTGATTCGTCTCAAAATAGAGAAAAAGCGCATATGCGCGAATGACCGAAATCTTATATGACCTTTATATATTAGCAATATTGAGATTAGAGGAGCAATGGGAGATCGATATCTAATAATCTCGTATCATTTAGAATATTCTAATATTATTCTAATTTAGAGGATAGAAATGATAGAGATCATAATATATTCATATATCATAAGATTATGAAGATGAATAAGAAATACGTATTGAAAAGAATAGAAGTAATTATAATTTTAAGAGATAGAAAATCTGATAATGAATTTAAGATATGAAAAAAAGAATATCTATAGATATAATGAGATAATTGATTTCGAAATAAAAGGAATAATAATAATAATAATGAGATTTCTATTTCTTGATCACGCTAATAGAAATTGATAATTATTGAGAATGCTTCTTAATTGGATTAAATTACATTCTATTTTCATTTCAATGAAATGATATAATTATTAGGCAATATTATTCATATAAATTTTATTTCTTCTGATTCTCTATTATATTTTTTTTTGATTCTTTAGAATCTCTAAATTTTCCGAAATCTTGAAACCTCTCAGATAAATTAATTATTATAAGAATTCTGAGAATTTTTGATCTGGATAAGACGATTATCAATTTAATATATATTTTATCATATCATTCTCTCTCTCTCTTTATAATTTCATTTGCTTCGATTATAGATTAGATCATATTCTCTTCTCTTTTGAAGCTCGTAATTAAACGCATCTTATTGAGATTTTTTTTTTCGGAATTTATCGAAATTATCTCCCAATTTATACGATAATTAATTACTCTTTTTATTGATCTAATATTCTTTGATATTTACTCATCAACTTATGATTTTTTTTCTAATCTCAGATCTCAAAAAGAAGAAGATTCGGTTATCCCAGATTTATCGTATCCAAAGAATCTCCCTTATATATATTCAGAATAAATATATAATATTATCTCCATCCCTTCATAATTTCTCCTATCGCAGGATCATATATCTTGCCAAGATTCGTATCTAAAAATATTAAATCTGATAAGGTCGTGGACGCACATTTTATCAGAGACATACAAATTCTAAATTCCGCAAAAATTCTTTACGAATTGCGCATGACGATCCCTGGGATTAAAACTAAGAAGAGATATACTAGAAATACGAAATAATAGCTGAGATTATATCTATAAGATCTATATCCCGAAAATTACAATTCTCCAGCTAGCTTTTCAATCAAAGAGCTCCTTCCCTAATAATTTCATGAATATGGCATTTTTTTTTTTTTTTTTTTT